CATGTCAGTCGGTGGAACCAGTCTCACGTAAGCGTACGTGTAAGGTCGGTCCGGGCCGCTTCATCCCACAATGTCGCCGAATCAAGATAAGACTAGTAACGGCAAGCAAATTGAACAAATCATCGCCCACAACTACTTTATGTTCTACTCATGCATAGAATATATGCATAGACCTAGCTCTGATACCACTGTTGGGGATCGTAGCAGAAATTCAAAATTTTCCTACGTGTCACCAAGATCAATCTATGGAGATACTAGCAACGAGAGAGAAGAGTGCATCTTCATACCCTTGAAGATCACAATGCGGAAGCGTTACAAGAACGCGGTTGATGGAGTCATACACGCAGCGATTCAGATCGCGGTCGATTCCGATCTAAGCGCCGAACAACGGCGCCTCCGCGTTAAACACACGTACAGCCCGGTGACGTCTCCCACGCCTTGATCCAGCAAGGAGAGAGGGAGAGGTTGGGGAAGACTCCGTCCAGCAGCAGCACAACGGCGTGGTGATGGTGGAGGAGCGCGGGACTCCAGCAGGGCTTCGCTAAGCACTACGAGAGACGAGGAGGGAGAGAGTAGGGCTGCGCCAAGAGGGAGATCAAATCATATGTTGGGCAGCCCCCAATACCTCAAGTATATGTAGGGGGAGGGGAGGAGTTGCGCCCCCATCTAGGGTTCCCTCCCTAGGGGTGGCGGCAGCCCCAAAACCCATCTAGGGTTGCGGCCAAGGGGGGGAAGAGAGGGGGCGCCCTAGGGTGGGCCTTAAGGCCCATCTGGACCTAGGGTTTGCCCCCTTCCCACTCTTCACGCGCCTTGGGCCTTGGTGGGGGGCGCACCATCCCACCTGGGGCTGGTCCCCTCCCACACTTGGCACACGCAGCCTTCTGGGGCTGGTGGCCCCACCTGGTGGACCCCCGGGACCCTCCCGGTGGTCCCGGTACGTTACCGATAGCACCCGAAACTTTTCCGGTGACCAAAACGGGACTTCCCATATATAAATCTTTACATCTTTACCTCCGGACCATTCCGGAACTCCTCGTGATGTCCGGGATCTCATCCGGGACTCTGAACAACATTCGGTAACCACGTACATACTTTCCCTATAACCCTAGCGTCATCGAACCTTAAGTGTGTAGACCCTACGGGCTCGGGAACCATGTAGACATGACCGAGACAACTCTCCGGTCTATAACCAACAGCGGGATCTGGATACCCATGTTGGCTCCCACATGTTCCACGATGATCTCATCGGATGAACCACGATGTCAAGGATTCAATCAATCTCGTATACAATTCCCTTTGTCTATCGGTACGATACTTGCCCGAGATTTGATCGTCGGTATCCCGATACCTCGTTCAATCTCGCTACCGGCAAGTCTCTTTACTCATTCCGTAACACATCATCCCGTGATCAACTCCTTGGTCACATTGTGCACATTATGATGATGTCCTACCGAGTGGGCCCAGAGATACCTCTCTGTTACACGGAGTGAGAAATCCCAGTCTCGATTCCTGCCAACCCAACAGACACTTTTGAAGATACCCGCAGTGCACCTTTATAGCCACCCAGTTACGTTGTGACGTTTGGTGCACCCAAAGCATTCCTACGGTATCCGGGAGTTGCACAATCTCATGGTCTAAGGAAATGATACTTGACATTAGAAAAGCTTTAGCATACGAACTACACGATCTTGTGCTAGGCTTAGGATTGGGTCTTGTCCATCACATCATTCTCCTAATGATGTGATCCTGTCATCAACGACATCCAATGTCTATGGTCAGGAAACCGTAACCATCTATTGATCAACGAGCTAGTCAACTAGAGGCTTACTAGGGACATGGTGTTGTCTATGTATCCACACATGTATCTGAGTTTCCTATCAATACAATTCTAGCATGGATAATAAACGATTATCATGAACAAGGAAATATAATAATAACTAATTTATTATTGCCTCTAGGGCATATTTCCAACAGATAGAACACTCATCCCCCATTGGCATCGAGACACCAAAGAGAAAAGATGATGCTAACGCGAGGATCCAAGCTCGAGGAGGGCACTGGCAGCATAATCATCCTCATCCTCAGGGATATAGCAAAGGCGGGGGTTGGAGTAGTTTGTGGCAATATTGTCAACGTCCTCACGACTAGGTGGTCGAGCCTCTCTCTAGTGTTCTCTGCCTTAATTACCTTCAGCTCTCTCCACATCTTCTTCCTGCAGTTAACGTCCCTGATGTGAGGCCTGGCACTGGACTGACACATCTTGAACAAGTTGTTGAACCCATGGAAAAGCATGTTCTTCTCCTTCTTGTTGAACGGAGGAGAATAAGCAATAGTGTGAGCAAAGCCAGTGGGATCATGTGTGATGGCACCTCATGATGAGGAACCACCCACCTTAGTAGCAACAGACACCTTCCTGGGACTGGGCTTCTTATGCACTAAGTGTAGCATATCATCATGCACCTGAGGTCTGGAGTTGGTGAATCTAGTAGGCAGAGAGATAGGCAACTTCTGCAAAAGCTTATCACAGCCAGCAATCTTGGCCTCAATGAGAGCATGGATGAATAGTGTAAACACAGCTGACTTGTTGTCAAACACAGAAGTCCTCATCTCCTCAAACATGAAATCGAGCACATCGACCTTCTTATCCTCATAGTCATAGACAAGAAAGTCAATAGTGGTGCCCCAAAACTCATCAGACGAACCTGTCTTGGGGGACAAGGAGTTCTGGAAGATCTGACGAAGAGTGTCATATTTGGACAATAGCTCCCGGATATCGCCAACATCAGTAATATGAGTCCCCTCCTTATACGCAAAAGCAAGGTCCCTTCTGTGAGGAAAGTGTTGAAACATTGTGCCATAGCCCTCCTGAGGCTCAGAGGAGAACTAATACCCTGTGATAGTAGTTAAGTCAAATTTGGATGCCCTCAAAGTAGCACCCTGTGAGCGCCACACAAATGAACGATTAGATCTCCTGTCAAATACACGGTGGCATAGAACTATAGTATAAAGAACCTCATTGTAAGCCTTGTTGAACTACAAAAAGCGAAGCAAATCCATGCTTCACAGAACATGATACACATCAGGAAAAAGATCAGTGCGAGTGCGGATGTACTCCATATCCAGAATGCGTTGGGGAGCTACCTTGTGCTTCTTCACTCTTAGAACCTTCTCAAAAGTGCGGTGTTGAAACACTTTGGTCTTGTACCTGTAATATATGTTGGTTTGGTATTCCTGTTATCAAGTGAATGTGTGCCGTGAGATATGATCTCTGGGCTGGCGCACATCACAGTCAATTGAATGAATTTGTGTGTGACGGTGTCGATGCCAAAGATGATGTTGTCGAAGCTATAAAAGTTGGTGCGTCCAAACAGGTTTGCTAGACCCGTGGACATGTCGGGACAAAGGCACGCATCAGTGTTGTTACTTGTTAGTACCAAGTGTGCGTAGATGGGGACCATCATGAATTTACACCATGTTCGAGGGACTAGCAGAAGAGGCCTCTGAAACAGTTGTGGTGCAAAATGCCATGTGGGTAGAAGATGATGACGTTTCCCATGGTTCTCCAAGTAGATGAACTAGTCTGTGAAGAGACGATGACGCTAGCGAGGAGCGTGTATTGGAAAAATAAGGAGGTGTTTTCCATGGAACTCGAGGTAGCTTGAAGGGCCACATTGGTCGCCTAGAAGCACGGTGGCGGTGTGCAGGGATGGGGATGTAGACTATGTGCGGCAACACTACGAACCGAGGGAACAATGTAGCTGCCGCTCATGAGTCGGTGCTTCGATTTGTGATAAGCTCCTTACTCCTTCACCCAATTCCTTCCAATCTACATAATTGTGCTTTGATTCGTGATAAGCTCTACACAAAAACGATGCACGTCGATGTTGTGATTCCACTCCCACGATCGGTTACTAGTTTCGCTTACTGTAATTCTTCAATTTCATGTTCATGTTTGGGTCCTTACGATAGGCCGTTTGAAATTTCCTTTGAGTGGCTTCCCCTCACCATTCCACACAATTTTCTAGTTGTAAGTTTTTTGTTTCGACAATTGTAAACTACTAAATCTATATCTCCTACGAATCAACATGTGATTAAATAGTTAAGAGGGCAGTGATATTTTCAGTCCACCAAAATTCAAATCCTAGATTTGAGATTGATGCTCGCATTTTTTCAAACACCCCAGCCGCCACGACTGCATCTAGCAGACGGCCTGGTGACAATCGCGATTGAAACAAAGGACGAAGGATTGCCTTTTGCGACTGTAGAAGAATTTCTGTGGATTCCTCCAGTGCACTCGTGAACTCTACATGAACATGCCGGACGCTTCGACAGTACCGGCCCCCTGTCTGGCCATTTTGCGTCCTAATTAACATCCATTTATTTTATCTGTGTACCCCGAGCTCTCGAATCTCCAATATACAAGAGCAGAACGAGTACTTTGGTTGAACGCCTGCAATAGTGGTAGAGTAGCAAGCAGAACGGGATTACGAAATCATGAAGCCAGAGCTGACAGCCATGACACTAAGCGAGCAATGGCACTGTGATAGAATTAATTTAATGTTATCAGGCTTGTTGAGGGAATCCAAAGAATGTGTAAGTGCCAATAGCAGCAAATGTTTTCTAAGCGCTCAAACAAAAATAGTACCAAGAGAACTGTAGGTCAGAGCAGAGACAACAGTAAAATAACAGCAAGCTAGTTCAAGAGAAATATCATGAAAACAAGATTCAGAACAGAGCATCCACATTCCACAGGTTTTAATCAGAAGCTACACAAGCATATAACAAGCCCCATATCTAATGCTCATACAGAAGTTCCCCGAGGCTGTTAATCAACATCAGCAGTATGCACTAACAACTAACATGGGTAGACTCAAGTTCGAGCTGCTACACCTACCACAGATGTCCTAAAGCTACAGCATTTACCAACAACCCTCTCCGTGAGGATTATTTTCCTTCTTGGCCCAAGCAGAAAAGATACCAGATCAGCAAGAACAAATTGACTATCGCTTTGATGGAGGCTTCTCATCATCATCACCATCATCATCACCGTCATCATCATCTTCATCCTCCGCGCCAGACCTCTTCCTCTTCGAAGAGGATTGCGCCTTGACAGAATCCTCACCATCCTCAGCATCATCATCCTCAATCTCCTCGTCCTCAGCACCATCACCATTTTCTTCTGGCTCAAAGTCACTGGAATGCTCTTCGTCTTCAGCACGGCCAAGCGGCTGCACCAGATATTCAGTTCCTAGCTCCTCCTGCCACAAACAACAGTGCAAGGGTCCAAATTAGTTTGACTGATCACAACGATGCTAGTTGACTATTATAGGAATGTTCATCACAGTTGAGAAGGGCAAACCAATTATTTGGTGGACAATCAACATAAATCAACTAGTGACAGATCAACATAAATTAGTAACAGTTTAACTACAGTTTGGGATCAGACTGACGTGCAATTTCTCATCATTCTGAATTATCCATAAAGGACATCTGAGATGAAATAATCATCATTTCCCATATAAAAGTGGATACTACTAACAAATTAGTAAAAAACCATAGGGGATCAGACTGACGTGCAATTTGTCACCATTCTTTTAAAAGCCCATTTAGGACATATCTGAAGAATTAATCATCATTTCCCCAATGAAGGTAAAACAAATTGACACAACAGCCAAGATAGCAAGCATAGCCTACATACAGCTTCTCACCAGTAGCCCAAAAAAATTCTACCTAGTAGTGCTTTGGATCAGATAGGCAAATCAGTAATTTTGCAACACATGGAGAGCTCTAGGCTCATCCTCAGAAACAGCCTCTGATATTCATCATCTCCTAGGCAAAATAGAAGAGAAAATATAAAGTATTTGAATGGTAATTTGGATCAGATAGGCAAATCAGTACTTTTGCAACATAGGTAGAGCTCTGAGCTCATCCTCAGAAACAGCCTCTGATATTCATCATCTCCTCAGCAAAATAAAGAAAAGAAAATGAAAGTGTTTGAATAGTAAGTTGGATCAGATAGGCAAATCAGTTATTTTGCAACATAGTAGAGCTCTGGGCTCAACCTCAGAAACAGCCTCTGAAATTCATCATCTCCTTGGCAAAATAGAAAATAGAAAATAGAAAGTGTTTGACTAGTGCTTTGGATCAGATAGGTAAATCAGTTATTTTGCAGCATATGAAGAGCTCTAGGCTCATCCTCAGAAACAGCCTCTGATGTTCATCATCTCCTCAGCCAAATAAAGAAAAGAAAATGAAAGTGTTTCACTAGTGCTTTGGATCAGATAGGCAAATCAGTTATTTTGCAACATAGGAAGAGCTCTAGGCTCATCCTCAGAAACAGCCTCTGATATTCATCACCTCCTCAGCAAAATAAAAGAAATGAAAATGGAAGTGTTTGACTAGTGCTTTGGATCAGATAGGCAAATCAGTCAATGTGCAACACAGGACAAGCTCTAGGCACATCCTCAGAAACAGCCTCTGATGATCCTCATCTCCAAGCACACATGGAACAGCGCCAGAAAGAAGGCCTACTACCAAATCTGACAGATCTACACTAAATAATTCGCATATATAGGTGTATTTGGATCTGAGTGAGAAACAAGAACTAGGCCTACTATCAAATCTGACAGATCTGCACCAAATTGGTTGCATATCTAGGTGGCTTTGGATCTGAGTTGGAAATAGTGAGATTTCCTGCAGGCAAGATACCTTGGAAGACCGCAAGGCAGATCTAGTACAGTAAGATAATTCATAGATGGCATATCATAGCCCCATCTCTATTGTGTGGCCTATAGGTTAACAGCTCAGATGGAAAACCATCCCTAAACAAGGATTTTTTTTTTCTTTTAACAACTAAATATAGCAAGTATATCGAAGGGGACATATACTTTGTCCTTGACTATTCTCGGAAAAGGGACGTGGTTCTGATCTGATGGGCTACACTGCAGACCACACAACAACGGACGGCCGGTGGATATGCCAATTGAATGTCAACTACCACACAATGGAAGGACAGGTAAAGGTTGAACGGTATAGCAGAGTACAGTCGACAAGATCTAAACGAACACAGAGCAGAAAAGCCTGCAGGTTGAGCAAAAGAAAAAAAATCCCAATTTCTAAATCTATCTAACTAGCCAGATGCAACTGTCATACTTACTTTTTACAGATCTAAAAATATTAATCGACAGCCACGAGAAATCCGGTTTCTTTGAGGAAAGCATGTATCAACAAGATCTGAAGACAGATCTGGAATTTCTCTAGCATAACGAAGTATATGTTCATAGAGTAAACGTAACCGAAAGTACTGAGACGGCACATATTTTAGATGCCAACAAAATTACAAGACGATGAGAAATTTATACCTCAGGCTCCTCCTCCTCGTCGACTTCGTCGTCGTCCTCCTCGTCATCATCGTCGTCGTCGTCGTCGTCGTCATCGTCACCACCCTCCTCTTCGTCGCCGCCGCCGTCGTCCTCGTCGGAGATGTCGACCACCTGCTGCGGCGCCGACCCCTTCTCCTCACCCTCCACCCCCTCGTCATCGTCATCTTCCCCATCGTCGTCGACTTCGTCGTCGTCGTCGTCGCCATCAACCGCCTCCTCCTCTTCATCTCCCTCGTCGTCCTCACCCTCATCATCCACATCCACCACCTCTTCCGCCGACTTTTTGGCGGCGGCCGCGGCGGCCTTGATGCGGGCGATCTCCGCCGCACGCTCGTCGCCTTCAACCGCCGGCTTCATCTCCTCCACTCTTCTACTACACACGAACTCTCGCGAGAAAATTTCTCCTCTGGTTTAAGTTGGTGTTGTGGTTGTGGAAAATTCAGGGGAAATTTTGGGCGATTTGTAGCCGGCGGGGAAGAACAAGAGGGCCGAGAGGCCTCTAGGTTTGGGCGGATGGGCCAGCGCAGATCCTGGTCGTTGGGTACAAGAACAGGCACGCGGATCCATGACGTGGCGGAGGATCGGACGGCTGCGAGGGATTTGTTCGTGGGTGGTGAGAGCTCGTGAGGTGGGGGGAAACGGCTAGGGCTGACGGCAGCGTAAGGATTTGGACGCGACTAACGCCAGAGCGACACTAGTGTGCTTTGGGCCAAAAACCGTCGTTCTTTAGGCCCATCCCATAGATGGTTGCGTTACACACACGTAACCAAAAGTTAGCCCACTCAGCAAAGGAAATTCCATTGCAAGTCCCACCAAACGGGACCTCCTGGGAACAAAATTTTGAAATTCTGAACATTTTCAAAAGTACACTTTTTGAAAAACATGAATAAAAATTGAAATTCCAAAAGGCGAATAAAGTAAGAAATTGTGAACAGCAATTGAAGATTTTGACCATTTTTGGAAAAAGTGAACAAAATTTGAAATTCTAAACACTTTTTTAAACAGAAAGTGTTTTTGAAAACATGAACAAAAAATTAAATTCCTGAGCATTTTTATGAACATAATTTGAATATTTGTGGGTAAAATTTGGAACAAAAGATTGAAATTCCAAAAAATGAAAAAACATAAACTTTTTTTAATTTCAATTTTTTAAAAATATTTCGAACATTTTTTGCAAATTGAGAATTCATGAAAATAAAAAATGATAAATAGAAAACCAAAAAAACTAGAAAAACAGTTAAAAATAAACCTGACATTAAAATCCATGTTCAAGAACCTTCTAGAAGGTCCCCAAAACCGATAGAAAAAACGTAAACATGTCGTTGTGCTAGCTAATGGTTTGACCTATTCTGTCGCTCGGTCACTCCTCTCCATATGAAGGGTCGACACTTTGTCACAACCAAATAGGGTTCTCCTACCAAACCTCATCTCCTTTTTTGACACCTTAGGGTTTCTTGTTCCTTTCACTCATCGTTGATCGATGTTAGGACCTTTCTTTACCCCTTATCTGGATCCTTCTCTGTTTGTTTCGCTCGGGCTGACCAAAGGGAGATCTGGTACCCTTTATTGCCTTAGTGGTCTAGGTTGCGAAGGATTAGCATAGGATGTCTCGATCTAGTCTCCTTCCCGCCAGTAGCTCCCATGCATGGATCATCTGAAGTTCTTGAGCCGGCACATGAGCCTGACGTGCAAATTTATGACATCCATGACATCTGCGAACTATGACCTCTACATCTGCATGAGATGTTAGCCAGTAAAAGCCATGTCGAAAAGCCTTCACGACCAGAGACCTTGAGCCGGCATCATGACCACAATTGCCAGAATGAATTTCTTTGAGAATCTCATGGCCTTCCACAAGAGAAACACAATGCTGAAAAACACTTGTAATACTTCTCTTGTGTAACTCGCCATTGACTAAAGTCATAGACTTAGACCTCCTAATAATCTGACAGGCGATGGTTTCCTCTTCAGGGAGCTCGCCATAAGTAAGATAAGCCAGGTAAGGTATTGTACAATCTGGTGTCGTGGGGAAAGATGCAACAAGAGCTGCCTCTGGGACAGGAATAGCAACTTCTTCCTCCGTTGGTAGTTTGACCGACGAGTTATGCAAAACATCCAGGAAATTTTTTGGTGGAACGGGCTTGCAATGAGATCCCAGGCGAGACAACGCATCTGTTGCCTCATTGAGCTGGCGGTCAATGTGATCAACTTGGTATCCTTTGAAATGACCTGCGATGACTGAGGGAGTCCTGGATTAGGGGTGTCCGGATGGCCGGACTATACCTTCAGCCGGACTCCTGGACTATGAAGATACAAGATTGAAGACTTCATCCCGTGTCCGGAAGGGACTTTCCTTGGCGTGGAAGGCAAGCTTGGCGATACGGATATGCAGATCTCCTACCATTGTAACCGACTTTGTGTAACCCTAACCCTCTCCGGTGTCTATATAAACTGGAGGGTTTTAGTCCATAGGACAACATACGCAACAACAATCAGACTATAGGCTAGCTTCTAGGGTTTAGCCTCTCCGATCTCGTGGTAGATCTACTCTTGTACTACCCATATCATCAATATTAATCAAGCAGGACATAGGGTTTTACCTCCATCGAGAGGGCCCGAACCTGGGTAAAACTTCATGTCCCTTGCCTCCTGTTACCATCCGGCCTAGACGCACAGTTCGGGACCCCCTACCCGAGATCCACCGGTTTTGACACCGACATTGGTGCTTTCATTGAGAGTTTCTCTGTGTCGTCGCCGTCAGGCTTGATGGCTCCTACGATCATCAATGGCGATGCAGTCCAGGGTGAGACCTTCCTCCCCGGACAGATCTTCGTCTTCGGCGGCTTCGCACTGCGGGCCAATTCACTTGGCCATTTGGAGCAGATCGAAAGCTATGCCCCCGGCCGTCAGGTCAGATTTGGAAGTTTAAACTACACGGCTGACATCCGCGGGGACTTGATCTTCGACGGATTCGAGCCACTGCCGAGCGCGCCGCACTGTCATGATGAGCATGATCTAGTTCTGCCGCCGAACAGTGCCCTGGAGGCCGCACCCGCATCGGCTTTGACCCTTAATTCGGAGCCAACTACGTCGATCGAGGATGGGTGGTTGGACGCCGCCTCGGGGGCTGCGATCCCAACGGCGATCGAGCCGAACACCAGCCCCGCACTCTGCGAGACTCGTGACTCCAAGGAGCCGGACTCCTCTCCGGACTCCGAACCCTTCGCGCCTCTGCCGATCGAATCCGATTGGGCGCCGATCATGGAGTTTACTGCCGCGGACATCTTTCAGCACTCGCCCTTTGGCGATATTATGAAATCACTAAAGTCTCTCTCTTTATCATGAGAGCCCTGGCCGGACTACGGCCAGCGAGATTGGGATACGGACGATGAAGAAATTCAAAGCCCACCCACCACCCACTTTGTAGCCAATGTCGACGATTTAACCGACATGCTCGACTTCGACTCCGGAGACATCGACGGTATGGACGCCGATGAAGGAGACGATGAAGAACCAGCGCCTATTGGGCCCTGGAATGCCACCTCGTCATATGACGTATACATGATGGACGCACCAAAAGATGACGACGAGGAGCGGAAGGATGCACCGAAGGCTTGTTCCCTCGAAAAGCAGTCAAAGCGGCGACGCAAGCGCCGCCCTAAATCCTGCCTCGACAAAAATAGCGATCACACAGACCCAGTGCTGGAGCAGGGCGAACCGCTGCCGGACAACGGCAATCCGGATAATCAGACCGAACAAACAAATCCTATCAAGGATAATGGTCCGGACGACATTACGCCGGACAGGCACCCAGAGCAGCAGACTGCCCGTAAAAGGCTTGTTGCCACCGCGAGGAGTCTGAAAAAGCAGAAGCAAAGGCTCAAGGCCGCGCAAGACACACTCCAAATCAGATGGAGTAAAATACTCAACATAGCAGCAAGGTACGGCGACAATCGCCCCTCCAAGAGCTACCCAAAGCGGAAGCTGCTACCCGAATTCGATGAGGAGGCCTCAGACCCCCACAACCAAATATCAAAGCAGCCACCTGGTCGGATAGACGACCCCTCTACCAACACAGAGCGGTATACAACGCCGCTCACAATACAACACGCGACCCATGCGAGGGCTCGCACCCAAAGGACGATGCAACAAGATCCATCTATGGACCACGCAAGCGCCCCCAGCATGCAATGCAACACAACAAACATCCGAACAACGCGGTACACCCAGCTACAGGGGTGCCGCACACCCCCTATGTTTCACCGATGAGGTGCTGGACCATGAATTTCCAGAGGGATTCAAGCCCGTAAACATAGAGGCATACGACGGAACAACAGACCCTGGAGTCTGGATTAAGGACTACATCCTTCATATCCATATGGCTCGAGGAGATGATCTCCACGCCATCAAGTACCTACCCCTCAAGCTCAAGGGGCCAGCTCGTCACTGGCTCAAAGGCCTCCCCGAAAGCTCCATTGGAAGTTGGGAAGAGCTCGAAGACGCCTTTCGGGCAAATTTTCAAGGGACTTATGTCCGACCTCCGGATGCGGACGATTTGAGTCATATAACTCAACAGCCCGGAGAGTCAGCCCGAAAGCTTTGGAACATGTTTCTTACTAAAAAGAACCAGATTGTCGACTGTCCGGACGCCGAAGCCTTGGCAGCTTTCAAGCATAGCGTCCATGGCGAATGGCTCGCCAGACATCTCGGCCAAAATAAGCCGAGAACGATGGCCGCATTAACGAACCTCATGACCCGCTTTTGCGCGGGTGAGGACAGCTGGCTAGCCAGATGCAGCACCAGCGACCCTAGTACATCTGAAGTTAGAGATGGAAACGGGAAATCACGGCGCAACAACAATAACAAACGCCGGAATAAAGAAGACATCACGAAGGGCACGGTAGTAAATGCTGGATTCAAAAGCTCTCAGCCAGGTCAAAAGCCGCCCCCTAAAGGCACCAGGGATGAACTGTCCAGCCTCAACAAAATTCTGGACCAAGTATGTCAGATCCATAGTACCCCTGGTAAACCTGCTAATCATACCCATAGAGAATGTTGGGTCTTCAAGCAGTCCGGCAAGCTCAACGCCGTACATAAGGGGGAGGATACACCAAGTGAAGACGAGGACGAGCCTCCCAAGCAAGACACGGCGGAACAAAAGAAATTTCCACCATAAGTCAAAACAGTAAACGTGTTACACGTGATCAAGGGAAAAAACAACACGGCACTCCCAGGAAAATATACCCAAGTGCCTGTCACCGCAAAGTCCTGCCACTGGTCGTCTCAATCGATCACTTTCGACCATCGCGATTACTCAGTAAGTATCCGACACGCAGGATGGGCTGCCCTGGTATTAG